GCACACTGGCAATCTTTGTGAGGCAGAATTTTACGTGGCTTGTAGTGAATCAAATACTTATTTCACACATCGATATGTAATCAGTTTCTAACTTTTATGTACTGTGATCTTCTGTCTCTGTCCATTAAAATGAAACTTATTATTTCCCCCATTGAGGCACTTTCCCTTTACGACATGAGTTATTCACAATGACAGTTTGCTTCTTTTGAATTAATGATTTCAATTTTTGTGTCATTTAAAGGCCAATTAAAATCTTTTCTGCTTTTACTTTGTAGTTTTCTTTCCCCTCTCGTTTGACTCTCCACTGTCGACCCTTCTTCATGCTTACCTAGTAGGTCTCCATGCACCATGGCCACCAGATACCAAAGTACTCCAAACACGAACCAGGTCCCCGCAAAGGTAGCCGAGAAGAGGAACAACTTGTAGCGCCATTGCATGTCCAGGAAAGTCGTCCAGAGGTCACGGAGGTACAGCGCCCCTCTTCCACTTACATGCTCAATGCGTACATTGCTCCGCCCATCTTTAGAAAGGACACGCCGCCGCCTTCGCAGAGCACTTGGACCTCCAGATGCAGCTCCTCCCACTCCTGCATGACCGCCAGTTCCATCTGTGGGGGTCAGCAGGGGCTTGGTGATGTCAGTCTGCGTCTGAGAATGGCAAACTTTCTGAGGGGAGGTGCCTTCAGAGGAAGGCGGTGTGGCTGAGGTCATGACCAAAGCTACATGGTATTGGAGAAAGAAAGAGGACACAGCAAGAGGTAAGGACACAAGGAAAGGTGTGCAAAAGAAGTATGAAGGAAAAGAAAGGAAAGGATAGTAAGGAATAAAGGGGAATTGGTTGGATGGGCAGTAAAATAAAATGAACAGCAGGTGTTTTAAAATGAAAGAGTGAAGGACGTAAGAAAAAGAGAATTCGATAAGCACGTGAAAAAGAAAGATGACAGAGTGGAACATTTAGGAGGAGAGGAGAAGAAGAAGAGAGGCATTAAAGGCACATTTTCAGCTGGACAGTTGCTAGCTATCCACGGCGGCCCATTTAAGACCCCTTTATTCTTTCACTGAAGGCACAGCTGCCCTTTCACATTAAAAGCATGAAAGCACAGGCTCTTTCACATGTTGGTTGCACTAGACAGCTGCTGAATGCACCAGTGACCTTTTTTTATATAAAAGAAAAAGAGGTCTTTAAACTTGAGCCACGGATGTGAACACCCTGTTCAGTTTTTCTAAAAGCAGTTTTCACTCCTTCTTAATGTGTTTTTACTTTAAGACTGACATTAGTTGTGAAGCATTTGCAGCACATGACAAACTGCCCTCTTGCACATGTACTTTGTAAATAACACTAGGGTTTGAAGAGTAAAGCCAACACAGAAGGCCCAAAAACTGCAGTGTCTTGAATATTTTTAGTGAAATATTAGTAGCAAAACTGTTAATGCTGTGGTCACCAGCTAAGATTTACCTCCACTGCTCTGAATGACTACCCCCCCCTCCCCCCAACCCCCTTTGTAGTGTTGGTGCTTTTTAGAGTAATTTTCAATCTAAAACTCTGATGAGTAATATGGGTTGCTGTGTGGTTGATTTTACTTTCC